TACTTTATAGAATAAAATTCATATTATTTATTTGTTTCTTTTTATTTAGCTATGTACCACCTACTTTGGCAATATCAAATTTATATTGGAAAGGATGGATAATGTTATTAATATTAGCTGCTCATAATCCTTCTACTATTGGTGCTGTTGCATGGAAACGGTATCCTATCTTACGAACTCTGATGGAAATGTGTATCACGAAGTATGTTTAAATTTTTAGAAAGAAAAATATTTATACATGTTTCAGTAAATTTCTTGTCATGTAAAATTTTTTTGTAGTCATTTTTCTTATCCACCACCGACAATGGCATTACCGGAGATTATAGAACAAGAACGCTCTAAAGAATTACAAGTTGAAGCTATTGAGAAGCAAGAAATATTAGAATATGAATCTCATTTAGCTGCTGCATCAACAAGAATACAAATATCAGAACAAAATAGTTTATTATTATCACAATTAATGACTATGGAACCAACTGGTATTGCAAGAAGACCACCTCCAGCAGTATTAGAACAAATTCAATCATTAAATATGTCTCACAGATTGGGACATTTGCTTTGTCGATCTCGCAAGCCAGATTTTTTATTAGATATAATACAAAGACAACAACAAAGTTCATCTCAGAGTATGCCATGGCTAGCAGATCTTGTACAAAATAGTGAAGGGTCTCTTAGTCAATTACCTGTACAATGTCTTTGTGAATTTTTATTATCTACTAGTGCTCAAGCTGTGGAGAAACAACCAAGACAACAACAATTATTAGTCCATCTTCAAATGTTACTAACTGATCCAGAACAAGATCGACAACATGCTTATGAAGTATTAGAATATTTTTTAAGAAGACTAAGCAGCCAACAAACTGGTAGTCGTCTTCAAGCAATTACAGGTTTAAAAATGGTACTTGGATCTATACCTACTGAGGAAGAATCTATGGATATAGATGGAGAGAATGAAAGGTAATTTAATAAATTTTTTATTTTTTTTTTCAATAACTTTTCTTCAAATTAAAAATTATATTTTTTGTAGAGAAATCTGGCTTCTTCGTAAATTACCATCCATACCTCATTTCTTATCAGTACGATCTTTAGTTTCTACTGCTCTTCGAGGTGCGTGTCAAGTCGAAAATAATCCAGATCTTGTACATGCATACATATCTTATCTTGCTGCACATACTACAGAAGATGATTTGCCCGATTTAACTGATTTGGCTAATGAAATATCTCAATTAGTAGTTGAACGAAGTACAATTATAGCAGCTATTTTACCGCAACCAGAAATTGATAGTCCACAAGCTAAACAAACTTTACATGCATTCATGGTAATTTTTTGTAATTATTTAGAAAAAGCTCGATCTCCACGAGCAGAAGAATATACGTGGTCTGAGAGTCAAGATCAAATATTAGTACAATGGAGTACAGGAGAAGAATGTACTATGCATATTCTAGTTGTTCATGCTATGATAATTTTATTAACATATGATTCCGATGATGATGTATTATTCGATGTTTTACTAGAAACTTGGTTTCCATTAAATACAGAACCACCAAAAGCATTTCTTGTTGATACAAGTGAAGAAGCTTTACTTATACCAGATTGGTTAAAATTAAGAATGATTAGGAGTAGTGTACCTCGTTTAATTGATGCAGCTCTCAAAGATTTAGAACCACAACAATTGGTTCTTTTTATTCAGAGTTTCGGTATTCCTGTACCTTCAATGACTAAATTATTACACACATTAGATGCTGGTGTTCAAATCGATCCGAGTTCAGTTGGCGAAGCAGTACTCGATAAAACGTATATGGCACAATTAGTTGAAGTACAACATAGAAGAGGAGCAACAGGTGGATTAGTTTTTGTACAAGTTTTGCAATTGATGGAACCACAATTACCTGACGAAAATGCGATAACTATTGGACAGTTACAAGAACCTTTACCTTTGAGTGCTATGGTTCAAAAACAATCTGTTATACAATCTTCTGTTAAAACGGATGTTCCGCATTTAATCAATAGATTATTCATTGAAAATATATCAATGAATCAAAAAATGGATGCATATCGTCGATTACATAAAACTTTAGCAAAAGACTTACAGAAATATGCCAAAGAAAGTGGAGCTGTTGTATTAGCAATACAACATATATGTAGTGTACTAAGTTCAATGCAGGTTAAACAATTTTTAGCTTCGCTTGTACATATGCCACAATATTCTTGTACTTTAATGCGAGTAATATTGTTGCCTTTAAAAAAGTCATCAACTTCTAAACAAGTAATTGAATTAGCTCGTAATATGTGTTTAAACTTGATACAATTAATAGGCGATGTAAAAGCACCAGTTTTATCTATTTTACGAGACTTTGCAAATGTACAATTAACTAAAACACCAAAAAGTATAGAATTAACTATGTTGATGCAAAATCGAGATCCCGGATCTATTTTGGAAAGCACAGATCCAGTAAATTTAGAAGCAGTCGGACGTAAATTATTAGATATTTGTCTTAAACAACAAAAAACCGATGTTCTTGTTGAAGCAATGGCAAGATTATTAGTAAATGATAGTAATGAAGGTATTTTAAAACCACGAACTGGTTTATTAATTGATTGGCTAGCATCTGTTGAGCCGGAATTAATTGGAACATGTCCTACTCTTCAAATGAAACTTTTATTTGGAAAAACTAAGATAGAAATGAAAATTGATAATAATATTATGAGCTCACATTCATTCAGACCTTATTTATTAACTTTATTAACACATAGAGCGAGTTGGGCAACTTTGTACAAATGTGTGGGACATTTGTTAGATAAATGTGATAATGGGTAAATAAAAAATAATTTAAAAAATAATTGAAGAAGATAATGATTTAAAGATAATAAAATATTATTTTTATAGGTATGATCCAACAGCTGTTTTAGATTTTTTGTGGGCATTAACTTGTAATCCAAAACTTTGGCAAGGCAGAGATAAATTCACGCCAAAACATTATGTTCCAGAAAATATTTTATTATTACATGATGAACAATTATTAACACTTGTAGCATATATAGTTGCAGAAGCTGTTATCATATATAATTGTCAAAACAGAAATACCGCACTTGCACGAATGGATTCTCGCCTTGATTTGCTATTACATTGTATTTCTACAGACGATCATTTAGTAGCTAGTGTTGTAAAATATTTGGCTGAACGTATGATGAATGATGCAAAGTATGTTTATTTCAATATAATTTTCTATATATTTTTTTTTTATAAAATTGTATTGAATATTTTTTTTAAATATTTTGGTTTTTTATTTTTAGCATTGATTCTGATATGGTTCATCAATTCTTGTTACATATGTATATGAAAATACCAAAAGTAATATGTTACTTAGATACATTTCAAAGTAAAAAATTTGTTGGAGAAGCGAAAATTACAGAATGGACAGGCTCTGTGTTAGATTGCATGAGTCATTCTTTGTTAACTGCTTTAGCAGCAACACCAAGACAAAAGTCATGGAATTCTCGATCTCAAGACTTTGAATTATGTGCTCGAAAAATGGCTGCTGTACATCCTATTTTAGTATTACGACAACTTCCAATGTTAGCATCATCACTAATGGGAAGATGTTATTTGGATTTTAGTCAGTTTAGAACGGGTCATCATTTAAATCTTTTTGTACAAATAATGGGATTACTAGAATTATTACAACCACATTTATTTAGTGATGAACATCAAATTGCTTTGGAAGATACCTTAGAAAATTATTTTCAATGTTTTCAAGTATGTAAAGAAATATTTATATATTATTAATATATATCAAATTAAAAATTATTGATCTATTTTATTTTCAGAATTATGGTCCAGTAAAAGATCTCATACCACTTTTAAATAGATTTATTACATTATTGCAAGCATATATTTCTTATGATCCACAAAGAGCATTAAAATATTTACAAAAACATGCTCAGGTTCTTCAGTAAGTAATACCTTTGATCTTTTCTAATGTATTACAGATATTAACTTACACTTACATATAGTGAATTGCAGGTACATTATCCAAATTTAGTTACACTTAGAACACTTGTATCGGGCATTCCAGTGCCAAGAGAAGGAGAAGATATAGAAGAAGTTTTAATTACTGTACCTCCTACACCACTTCCAATAGAACCCATTATTCCACAGCATTGGCCATCATTATTAACAACATTATCTAAACTGCAAGGTGAAGGTATGATTCAGAAATTTGCTTTAATTTCTATAAACTTTTATTATAATACCAGAATGTATAAATTTTAATATGTTTTAGATGTATTTAGTGCTCTTCAAGAAATTGAACACTTATCATCTCGAAAACCTTCAGTTTTAGAAACTATAACGGATAATATAGCAGAATTACTCGTATCTCCACAAAGTAACATAAGATCTCTTGCTCATACATTATTAGCAAGAGCGTTAAAACATCGACCTGCATCAAATGCAAATATCTTATCTGCATTTCAGAGGTGTTTGGATAGTTCCAGAGCTGATATTTTAATGTCAGCTCTAGAAAAGTTACCAGAAATTGTATTATGTATGCAAGGTATAATTCTTTTTTATTTTATTCTAATATAATATATATATATATTGTACATATAATATAAATTTTATTTAATAAATTTAATTTCATATTATATATAAATTATATTTTATTTCAGAACATGCTTTACCATTGATGCAGAAAGTATTTGAATTAGGAGTAAATTCAAATGTGAATACTATACCATATATAAATAAAACTATTGCTCTGTTAAATACACAGCAGGGTTGTTAATATCATAAAAATTGTAATTTTATATTTTGTATACAATGAAATCAAAAATTTTTTATAAAGAGACAATGAACAATCATTGCACTTATTGTATTTTCTTTAGGTAATAATACATTTTTTATAAGATAAAATTAATTTGATATTATACACAAATATACATTTATAGTACAAGTACATTATAAATAATAACATGTACATAAATATTATACAACAGATTACAAAAGATGTATATATTATAAAAAGGCTTCAGGTGGTACATTGTTAACTGTGTACATATTCATAAATGTAGCAATAGCAGTCCTAATATCCCAGTTGGCATCTTCAAGATACTGATGACAAAATTTTATGTTCATTGTAGTCAATTCATGTAAAAATGTAAGCAGTTGTTCTTTTTCAGAAACACTAAACACTGTTGGAATAAACTTTGGAACGCTTTTTAATTCAAATCTTATTTCATTGTTTCCTGATAGATTAGCTGGTGTTCCATCAAGATAACACTGATCATTAGTAATGCAATATTCATTATCTTCTTTCTTCATAATTATAAAAGTTCTATTGAAAAACATTGGTGGACATTGATTGACATCTCGAAATGAAAACATTCCTTGTACAGAAATTGCAAGATGGATTTCTCCTTCATATAATAAATCCACATGAAATGATTTGAAGTGATGTATTGTAGGTGGTTGATTTTTAAGTGCAGAAATAATTTTTTCTGGACCACGTAATAAAAATTCTTGACACTTAGCATAATCAACAAATTTTAGTAAATTTCTATTTGTTACAAATGTTTTAGTCAACTGTTTATGAACATAATTTGAAACAGGTCCTAAAGTCATAGAATAGAGAGCATCTCTGTCATATAAACCATTTATCATTTGCCTATCATCTTGATCATATAATGTGAAATAATGCTTCACAAATTGCTTGATTAAACAAGTGTTTGTACCATCTTTTAAATAATTACTTTGAATATTGGGAACAAATTTTTGTTCCATACCTATTACAATCCCATCCAATTTTTGTAAATGAGGAAAAATATTTTTTACTGCTTGGATATAATCATGACACTTATTATATTTTATACATAATGGATTTCCATCCAGCCAAAGTTCACTTATTTTAAATTCACTAAAATAACGTAAGTACTCTACATCTGCAATTTGATTGTGACGTAAATCTAATTTGGTTAAATGATAATTAAAAAATTTTTCAAAAAAGATAATGCTTGTGATTTGATTATATCTTAAACTCAATTCTCTAACAGGTAACCGTGAATCACGATTATTACTTAAAATTCCCATTTTAGTACATCTTAAAACAAAATGCAATACTTTGGGCAAAGATATGGGACAATATATAGAGCTTAATGATTTTTCATTTTCAAAATCATCAAGATTCAATATCTTTTTTGTAGGTTCATATCTATAATAAAGAGCTTGTGCTATAATTCTATTAGGATTTAATTGTAAATTTTGAGAATCTGTATATCCTAATATAATATCAATGTGTAATTCTTGTCCATTTGACAATGTTAGACATAAACCTTGTTTTACAAGATTTTCAATAGCATTACAACTACATTTTGTCAAGAAAGTGCTTTTGTTGGAATTTTCTTCTTTATACATAACAGGTAATATAATTTCTGGTTCACAAGCAATAATAATAGTTCGTAACACTTCTGCTGCTTTGAATTTTCCTATGCCAAATAAAATGAACTTGTGCCATAAATCTTGACGTGATGCCAAAGCGGATTCTTGAGCATTAAATGATGGTTTAACATATGTTAGACGTAATGGTTCCCAACTTATAATATTTTCAGTTACTTCTACATTTGCCATTATTCTGATAATATATGTAAATAAAATTGATTTATAATAAAAATTTATAATTTCATAAAAAATATAATTAAAATTGATAAAATATGAAATCACTCCATAATACAATCACTTAAATTTATAAGATTTATTTATAAAAAATTTTTAGAATATTAAGAATTAATTATAATAAAAAAATTATGTATTTATAATAAATAAATAAATACTATTCATATATATATATATTATTCATATACACATATTTGTTTAAATGTATAAAAAATTGATTAGATAAATTATTCTAAGTAAGAAAAATTATTTAATGGAAAAACATTACTGATTCCAATGATATATTAATGATAAACTAATGAGATTAAATTTATTTTACAGTTACAAATTTTTTGCTTGTAACGATTTTTTATATGAAATAATTTATCAAAATCATATATTTTTAAAGAATATATTTAATATGAAAAAACATATAAATATTTATTAAACTTTTTAATTTTTGGAATTTTAGAAAATACTTTTTATTATTTAAAAAAATCAACATTAATTTAAATTTCATTTGTATGAAACATTGTATTTTTTTATATTAATTTATTTTTATTAATATATTATTTACAATTTATTATTAAAATTAACTAAATTAAATATAAAAGAATTCTTAATTTTTAATTTTAATTTTAATTTTAATATAAGTAGATAAAATACACAGATAAAATACAGAATAGATATATCTATGTTTTATGAAATTTTATGATTCGTGTGCTCTGAATTATCGATTGTGCAAGAAATCATTTAAATCATAGACCATAAAAAAAATACAGAATAAATCTAATATTTAATGAACCTTTGTGTTTTATGTTCTGAAATATTGATCAAGAAATCATTGATATACCGACAGATGAAATATATAATAGATATATGTCATTTAAATTATCATTTTATTTTGAATCGATAATATTATATATGAAAATAGCAATAAAAGTTATGTAGTCCAATTATACAATGATACGAAAATGTATTGGATGATAAGGTCTATTTTATATTTAGTTGATGATATATTAATTATGAGAGAATAGTTAATTTAAGTTCAGATGGCAGCACATGTATAACTCACAAATGGGTTGGGCATTAAGAATCATTTTTTCATATATATATTGTGAATATTAATTGTACATAAAATAAGTTTTTTCTTTTTTGAAATTGTTAAATATAATTTAATGACAGAATGACAAAGCAATTGTATTTATTTTTATTTACTTTATATTTTATGTGGCAAGGTAAAATTATATAATTTATAAAATTATGTGTTTTATTTATGTATATAATAATTTTTATTTTAAAAAATAAAAATATTATTTAAAATCTTTTTAATTATGAAGAAATATAAAATTAATGAAAACATATTTATTTAATATTTTTGTAAAATTATCTTATAAATATTATTTATTAATATTATAATTTTTTAAAAATTTTATAATATACAAATCAATATATGAACATAATTTTATATTCTTTTTATATGTATCTCTCTTTAGTTATATGTTCCATCCAAGAATCAAGTCCTTGTCAAATTCCATTAATTATTAGAGGATCTTGGTTTTCATGGGAAAATGGAAGAAACACATTAACAGAAATAAATGCAGAAACAATGACTAATCGTGGCAAATGTGTTAATATGTTGGAAGAATATCATGTTAATTATACATTTGTATTTCAAAATGAAGCATGTTATCATTGTGTTAAATTAATTGTAAGAACAGTAAATGTATTGGAAAAACTTGAAGGTAAAATAATTATAATAAATTTAAAAAAACAAAAATATATATAATACATAAAAACTAATATTATTACTCTTATTTATATTTAGCATATTGTGTGAATTTGCCCAATGATATTGAGCCAACAGTGGAAAATGTATGTAGAGGATTACGTCCTGATCAACAATTAATAACATTATTTTCAGAAAATTATGTTCCTGTAAATTGTAGATCATCTCTTGAAGGTGTTTGGCAATTTGCATATCAGGTATATATTTAATAACTGAAATAATAAATATATACTATATATAAAGAAATTTATTTATTTATTTTTTATTGTCATAGAATCGATTCAGATTTACAGGAGAATGTAATCATCCAGATGCACAAATTAAATCATGTCAAACTGCAGGAACACAATTCCTAATAACTAATCAGAAATTTAATATAACATATAAACAATGTCTTGGCATGAAAAATACTTTTGATGGAGGTAATATTATTTTTTCATTATTTTATTTGATTAATTATTATTTTTATAAAATTATATGACTATTGTAATTATTATTTTATTTTATTTTGTTTTTTTTATTCTATTATAGTTGTAGAATATAGTTGTTTAGGCGACTGGTTTGTTGATAAAAATCATTTTTTTGCCGTTGCAAATACAAAAGAATCTAGAAAAGATGAAAAATATCGATGTTTTCTAAAAAATCGTGATGATGACTTGTTTATTGGAGTATCTATTACTGCAGAATGTAATACATTAAAAACAGTTGAAAAAAGTCCAGAACGTTTAAGAGTAACACCTGTTAAAGCAGAAGTGGTAGAGCCTGGATGTAGATTACCAGAAGATATGAGTGGACAATGGATAAATACTGCTAATATTGATGCAGATATATTTATTAATGAAACACATATAATTGAAACTTGGTATCCTGATGAAGGTCGTTACAGACGCACAATTTATGTTTGTCGCGAATCAAGAGATACCAGAGTGATGATGGCTAGATTAACCGTTGATGGATGGTATTGATATTATAATATAGTTAATATATAATATAATTTATCATTGATTAATTAATTCTTATTTTTAGTCAAAAAGATTATGTTTGCTTTGATTTTGTACCCCGGCATCATAATATTATTAGATATCGACGTGGCATAGCAGTTATCAAAGATGACTTTCATACAGTTTGTTCTTGGGTTCAATTTCCAAACAAAGAAGCTTGGAAGTATGATTTATTTTTAGGTCAGCATTAAATTATTTTATTGCTAAAATTATGCTTACTAAAATTTTTTATCTATATTTATAATGCCTTTATATATACATATAGCTAAAAATCCCGTACCTGTACGTTGTCCAGTAGCTGGCAAATATATGTTTACTCAAAAAGGAGATGTTTTATTTGAGACCAGAATTTTAGGGGGCGTTACATTATCTCCACGTCCAAACATATATTGCAAACAAAATATTTCAGATTTTTCTGTATGTGATACCGACCAAAAGGAAATTGCTATTGATGAAACTTATTGTTTATCAGTAGATCATTTAGGAAGACCTGTGGATATTTATAGTGAGTTTAATTATTATAGAAAAATGAAATAAAACGACATTTTATGTTAATTTCTAAATTCCTAGGTTTACCGGATTATAAGATGAAATGTATTGGATTTTGGAAAGAAAATTTAAAATCATATTTAATAACCTATGACGAATTAGATCCTTTCAGTAAATATCGTTGTTGGGTGTATCAAAGAGCTGATTTAAATAAAGTTCTTATGTCTCAAGCTATTGGACCGTTTTGCGATCTTAAACAAGATGTTACAAGCAGTAATTATACTGAAGGTGCTGCAGTTGCATTAGAATTACAGGTAACAAAATGTTCTCGTAAATTTATTTAATAAAATTCTATAGATGTTTTATGATTAAATTTAGGAATATGAAAGAGAACGTGATCAGTGCCCAATGTATTTTGATGATGGAAGTAATCCATGGATTATAACTGAGAATTATATAAAAATATTTCATTATGGTAATGGAAGTATAAGGACTTCAGTTTCATATTTATTTTTATTTTTGATAATCAGCATATTTTACATATCTTTAATAAAAACATAATATAACATATTTTATTAGGATAATAAGTTTCATTTACAGATATTATTGATAATACTATAATTAATTAAATTTATAGTTTTAATTATTAATTTTTTATTTTCATCTATTCCGTCCAATTTTTTATGTACAAATAGTTTATTAAATTTGAGTAACTGTAATAATATAATATAATATAAATATACTATAAATAATTATATATATATTTATATATATAATTATTTAAATGCACTTATTTATTGTAATTATCTATTATAAAAAGATGTTTTTTTATAATATTGTAATATAATGTTTATTGTTAATATTAAGTGCATTTAAAAACGTGCCTTATATTTAAAAGTATTAATGAAAAGAATAATAATAAGTTTCAGAATTTTTATCCATATTTTATTATTTTTTATAATGATCTGAAATTGTTTATAAATATTTACAATAAAGCATAAATTTATATAAGATTAAAAACTTATTTTTCTTTATTATTTATTATATTATTTATACTTACATTTTATACTTTATATATGTATATGAATAAAGTAAAAACAAAAAATTATATAAAAAATTTATTTTGTCCAGCTGACTTTTGGTATATCAAAATGTTCTGTTAAACTGTCTAAATGCCTGTTAAATTCTTCTACCCGTTGTTTATGTGTCATTGAAGCTTTTTGTTTTATTCGCTCAGTTTGCTGCAAATATTATTATGTAGTTAAATGAAATTATTTTAAAATGTAAAATATTTATTTAAATAATTGCTTACCATTTTTTCTTGCATTTTTTGAAATGCTATTTCAGCTTTTGTTCGTTTAATTTCTATTATTTTTGGTTTCTCTTCTTCTATAATTTTCGTCACTTCTACCAATTTCTTTTTTTTACCTTCTTTATTTTTTTTTCTATTTTCAAATAGATAATAATAATATTAAAAAATTTGAAAAATTTTAAATATTAATATATAACTTTAAATTATTCGATAGCCAATATTGACAATGAATTTAACCTATAAATAAAATTTAGCATATAAATACATACTTTTTACTCACGCTTTGATCATTTTTGAGTTTTAACAGTCCTTTTGCTACATGTGCATAAGGATCATCATCAGTTGTTGATGGCATATTAATTTTTTAAATAAATATTTATTATTTAATATCACTACCAAATAGTTTACACGTTATACACGAAACTAAATCATTTTCTGGAGACAAATCGATTCTCGACAATCGATTATATCATGACGTCATATGAACCAATAACATCTTTGAATTGAACAACTGAACATAATTCAAAATTTCGTTATCTATTGTTTTAAAAACATACAATATTTTATTTTTTTTATTTCATATTAATGATAATAAAAATTTTTTTAAAGGCAAGCTTCCATTTAAAAAATGGATTACATTATTTTATTCTTTTATATATATATGTATATATATATATATATATATAGATGTGTGTATATATACATAACACAACTGTCATATTTTAAGGATCATAATAAATTGGTATAATATTGTTAATAATTCTCCATTAATTATACAAGTTTACTTAGCATCATATTCGTGTACATATAGCAATCAATTGTTCATAATCTCTATGCCGTGATGTATTAATCTTAATTAAATAGTTTCAAAAATGTGTGTGTACTATATGATAATTAATATTATTTTGCGCTTGTATTCATACTAACTACCATTGTATCTAGATTAAATGCTATTTTTTCTTGATGAATTTAAGTTAGAATAACAGCACTGTTACTTAAATTGATTATCTGAAAACACAATATAAAAAATTGTTACTTATTTCTAAGGTGCTTGCAGGATGTACATGTCTTGTTATCATTTGCATGAGCATATTTGGTTTAAGCAAAATTTCTTTGTTTTTTTTCATTGAACTTTCTATAAATTTATATATGATTGAACAGATAACAGCTAAAGCTTAGATTTAAAAAAATTGTCTACAATAATCAATCATTCAATCCAGAATAAAATCATTACTGAACACTCCCTTGCACATTTGATCCCCATTCTATCAATATCTTGGGCTTTTCGATAAGGATGTGTAAGAACATAAAATTAGTTACACGTATTAACGAACACCACTTCTAGAATGTGCTATAAGCCACTGCAATGTTATATCAATATTGTCTTTTTCTTTGCATGAAATACTATAGCAACAGATTTCACGATCTTGAATAGCTGATAAATTCCTAAAAAAACATAAACATATTTATTATATATTTATTATTTGCTTATTATTATTATTTCTTTTTATAACAAACGTACATTCTTTCTATAAGTCCATTTTCATCTAAAGCATGTGGTAAGTCCCTTTTATTACCTAGGACCAATACTGGTATACCAGATAATTGAGGTTTATCTAATAAATTATGTAGTTCATTGCGGCTTGCTTCAATTTTTTCAGAATCAGCTGCATCTACCATATATACTATTGCATTTACTCCTCTGCAATATCTCTCCCACATAGACCTAAACCTTGGTTGACCTCCAATATCCCAAACCTTTATAGTTACATTGCCTTTTGTTATTTTACGCATATTAAAACCAACTGTTGGAATCATATCTTCACTGAATTGTCCTGACTGAAAAAAAATTATTATTTAACAAGAAATATAAATATTTATTTAATCACAAAAATTAAAATAAAATAATGATAAAATATAATATAGACCTAATATAATAAACCTGTTGAAAACAATAAATCTGTCTCTCATAAAAAAAGATATTTAATTTTTTTATTCTGTTTATAATTTTAATCTAATTATAATTTAAAAAGAAAAATATAATGTTATTTTTTAAAAAATTATTAAAAAATTTCATTATTAAATTTCTATATTAGGGCGGATACAAGGTTTACATCAATGACAAAGTTATCTTAAATGAAATATGGAATCTAACCAAACGATGCACGATTTTTTTATTACAGTGAATTATAATAATTTATTGATTAAGACATTTTACATTCACGTATATTTTACTTTGTTAGATAAAAAATAAGAATAGTAATCGTTAAATCACAGTAACAGAAGTAAGCTTTCGTACCGCTATAACATTCACGAAAGTGGTTTTTCCACTATATTGCAAGCCAACAAGGGTGAGTTCCATCTCTTCTTTCCAAAAGAGGGATTTAAACCAATCCAAAATTCGATTAATAAGAGCCAACATTTTTTATTCGATCGGAGGAAATCCAGCTCCACCGGTAGAAAGTGCACTTAAAGTACGCCGCTCACTGACTTTGACATGTAGTCATTTGCACTCGAATACGACGTCAGTCCGTCAGCTCCAAAGGTATGTACCGCGCTAGTCAGTGACTGGCGCTGACTAATTTATATGAGTCATAAGATACTATACATGAATTTATCTTATGAGAAAGTAATATCTTACATATTAAACAGTTTATTGTGCGTGATAGCAGATGATAGTCCAGTGATCTTGACAGTTCAGGCTTTGACATGCAGCAGAAGATGTTACAGCGATTCTCAACTTGATGTTACTCACTTTCGATTAATTAATAATTTAAATCAGATGATTAGAATATTAGTGTCTATTTTTTAATTTTTAAATAAATATTAGTAGATATATATATATAAATGTATATAATGAATAAGTATATACTATAAATAGTGGAATATATAGTTATTTGTAATATATAAATTATCAATTTTTTAAAAATAGAATTAATATAAAATATGCAATATAAGTAAATTTAAATTCACGAAATATTTTTTATATAATTAAAATATTAATTATATAAGAATATATAAATTTATTTATTTGATTCGATAAGATTTTTTATATTCTTAATAAAAAAAAAGATTTATTTTATTGTGCGTATGAACTCATAGAAAATAACAAAATATCATCACATTAAAACAATAATGACCGTTATTGTAAATATATGAAATAATTGCGACAGAGTTAATTTGCGACAATTTCTATGTAATCATTGGTTTTTAATTTTCAGTTCGATTTATTAAAAACAAAATATTATTTGTTTATTGATATTCTCTTAAAGATAATTTTTAATTTTTTTTCAGTAATTATCAGATAATGCAATATAAGTTATGTTTTTATTTCTTATACTATTGTTTCTAAATAGGCAGTATAACAATTTGAATATTGATTGAAAATTATTGCCTAAACAATAGAAATTAATATTAATTATGAATGTATCCTATATCTGTGCTATTATGCAAATATTAAAAAATATTTTTTTTTATGCGATAGTTTATAATACAATATATAATATATATATTTGAATCAATTTATGTTTCACAATTTTTTTTAATTTTGTTAATATTATATTTATAATAATTAATATCAATTCTTTTATTTAATTCTTTTATTTAATTATATAAAATCGTTGATTTATGAAATTTTATTAATTATTTAATGATTACGCAGAGATTATTGTAATCTGTATTATTTATGCATAAGAAATA